CAAATACATTCTTCTTAAATGTGATGTAAATTTAACCCTAGTTTCAGTGGTCCTTTCCATACCTAACATCAAAACTATGCAGAAACACCTTAATATATTTCTCTGTCAAAATTKTGTGGAGCCACCTTAACTACTTAGCTAAATATAATATATATCTTATACTTTCTTTATAGTACACCTCGGATATTTCACTAAATGACTAATTTGAAAATATATATATTTTAAATTATAGGCAACCTAGCTAATCTTTAGGTAATTTTTATTATTTTTAGTACTATGTAGTTTCATTTAGTTTGTATCAGTTTTTTTTAATTCATGATAAGCGTTACTTTTGTAATCAGTTTATAATTTTTGTAATTACTGTACATTGGTAACTTCCAAATTGCATTTATCTTCGCAACCGTGAGGAGTGTTGTCATATTTGATACAAAACTGTCTTCATTTGCATAAACTTCAAATCTATTTTCTCATCCAAAATCAATTTCATCTTAGGTTTTTAGTAGAATATGAATGTATACACCTAAACGTTTCACAAGTCATTCAAAACATTCACGTCCGTGTTGTATGTGCTTTACAATCTCTCGCCTTGGGCTCGAAATTGTAAAATCCCTTACAAAACGGCAGTTCATGTTTTAAACATTATATATAAATAAGTCAGCTCCATAAAAAAGTCCTTCCAGAGAACACCCCTTTTCATAATCATTAATGTAGACAATCATTACATTTACAAATGCAGCTGATTCCAAATATGTTTCCTTCAAATGGACAATACATGTAAGCTTAATGTAATTATAAATAAACCCCATTTCTGAAAATTGGCCCTTCAAAAACCTGTCTTTTCTTATGTAAGACTTCTTCCAAATAGTAGTGCTTTTAAATAACAAATTGCTGTTTGTCTGACATTTATATAGACAAATTGTTTGTTTACAATCCGGTTTATGAGCCTAAGCATTTCATCATTGTGTTAACCTACAGTAACTAACACCAAGTCAGCACTGAATATTGAGGATTTCTGGGTTCCAATGGATGTTGTGCGAAGTATCACAGACGTGCACTGAAACAAAACATTTTCGGGCAAGAACTGATGTCAGGAGAAGAAGAATACTGCAAGAAAACCCAAGCTTTTATTCTTTCACTGGTGTATTTCATTCTAAGCTCACCAGTTGTCGTACTCTGATGCAAAGCCATGATCATCTATAAAGATGGGTGAAGAAGAATCACTTCCCTTTATATACAATTTTTTCCATCCTCACAACTCAAATTTTCTCATCAAAGTTTGAATAAAATGGAGTCTCATTTGTTCTTTAAACTTTGTGTACCAACTAATTATGATTCTCCGTCTGTYTGCCAGTTCAGCATCACTCATATGTTTCTCCCTTTCCAAAATCCTYGGCAATTCTGTCCAGTTCTTCACAAAGATAAAAGGTGCCTTGTATTTCTTGAGTAAATAAAGTGGGTTATCTTTACTACATTGGCCTGGAGTTGCAACATCTTCAATGACTGGAACAGAGCCATAAGAACAAGCTTCATATATTCTATAACATTCTGAATTRATGCCAACAGGGCAAAGCGTTAGGTCACTGTTAGCAAGGGCATAATGATATTGTCTTGATGTTTCCTTGTTTTCGTTTGGCAACCAGSTGTCTCTGTATTTGACCAAGCAGTCTTTGTACAAATCCCATGTGTCCAGTACCTTTTTCAGTAGCTCTCTAGAGGAACCTCTGTATAATGTCCCTAGAAAATTGCACCTGTATTTTCGTCTTTGCTCTACATTCACAGACATGGGCATTATAAGGGGRAATTTCCTGTATGTAGCTACCCCTAATGGCCACTGATAAAACATTCCATTGTCTCGATTAGTTATGTCATAAACTACAAACACTGCTTTAATAATGTCCCTCATTATGGTGATATAACTTGACAGCCATTCATTATTGCATTTCTCATTGCCAAGAATCACTAAAGCTACATTTTTAAGCATCTTGAAGTTATAAAGCGAATCAAGCCATGCTTGTGCAAAGTCAACTTTCTTCTGYTCCCTTCCATTCAAAATGAGCACCAAGTTCTTGGTATCCTTGGGGACCTTATCGGGCACAACACCTGGTCCTGTGCGGAATTTGAACTTCAGGGACTCTATACGTTTTTCACCGTACTGCCAAACACCTCCAAGCTTTGTCACCAGAGGACCTTTGAGAATGTGCTGCCAGAAATACAGCCCAATAGCCGCTTTTCCCCAGACTTCGATTGTAACATTTTCCAATGCACGCGACGATAACRCCGAATTTATTCGCTTTTGAGATATAGCATCTATAGGACCGCCTTGATTACGTGGCCACAACGAAATCAAAGTATAGAGTGTTACAAAACTATAAGCAATTACACCAACTATTAACAAGTTTGCGCATTTTCTGCTCGGAAATCTTCGCATTGCTTGTCCGCCATATTTTCCCATACTCACTACTGCGCCTGCTCAATATTGTTGMTGCCGACCGCTGACCAAACCTTCTTTTCTTCTTTGCTCTCTACCCAAAAAAGTCCTCAAATTTTCCCTTTTTCTTACACTTTTCTCCAAGTTTCGATATAATGAAGATGCAGGTAATATTCAGTTGTTTTTCAGTGTATTTCTTAGCTCAGAGGCGTTTCATTTGGTGATAAATTACTTTTTATAGGAAGAAAAACTCATTGAGATGTCTCTTGAGACGATTTCCAGCCGTGTCCAAGAAGTGAAGGAGTCTTTGCAGGCGTTTCTGGCTAAACTAGAGATGGAGCAAATGAACTGGTGTGTGTTGGCAACAGCGTCGTCTTGTGCTATAKCTTTTGTGTTGTGGGTKAGGGTGATTGCAAATGGGCTGGTTTGTGATGGCCARAGCGTCGTCTTGTACTGTGGYGTTTTTGTTGT